GTTGAAAATCGAACAAGGCAAGTAAATATTTATGTCAAGAAATGTTAAGTGAACAATAATACACAACCCTCTGATTTAGTTGTTCCATTTTCAATAATGATGAAGTTATAGGGATGAGCCACCTTGAAAAATCATCTGGTATATAGGGTGTTCTGTTTGGAAAAATTATCGCGGACGTCAGAACTCCTCTCTCTAGTCTATGTCTATTCAATTTCCATCTATGAATGTGGAAGGAAGATTGGTATGAGAAATCGATCTGTTGTTGGAGATTCCTCAGAAATCAATAGTTTTGCTATACATTTTTCTATTTTTTTTTTCTGGTTCCCACGGGGAGGGATATCCAGTAATGTTCAGAGAACATCGTGACAACCAAGGGAAATAAGGTGGGAATTCGTGTTCTTCTTAAATTTCTGGAGATTATATGCCTCGGAAAACAGCTCCCTTGGCAATGTGTTCCAGAGCCTCGCTGTTCGTTGGATGAACGAGTCTTTGGAAAGAGATGTTCTGCAGGTATCCAAAGTGACCACAAAGGAGTGCGAAACCTCAACTCGACGGGTTAATCTCGCAGGACTGCCAAGAGAGGAACAATTGTTGATATTTCAGAAGAGCATCGTCCATGAAAATATCTATAAAATAAAGCCAGATCGCCAACTTTTCTACGGTGTCCCAGAGAAGTGAGTGAGTTTGTAAGCGAGGCGTCACCCACGAGACGAATTGCCCTTTTTTGGACAGAATACAGAATCCAACAGTTTCAGGGTATGGGAACAGTATTCCAGAACAGGTCGGATCTGTGCCTTATAGATCATAAGCAGCTGACTGGAAGTGAAATAGCTCCTGGCCCGAAACAGACAACCAAGTTTTTGGGATGCACTTTTAACAATTGATCTTACGTGATTTTCCAAAGAAAGGTTATTGCTGATATAGTAATCCCAAGCATCGAAATGGATTTCTTCGAAGGTATGGTTACTCCTGACAAGCTTATGTGTACGAAACCTATTTGTTATACATTTTCGAAATCAGCTTTTCATGGAGATTCAGAAAACTGATTGAATATATAGGGTTTTCCATTTGAGAAAATTGTCGCAGACGTCAGAACTCAAACGAGGATCACCCTGTATATTTACTTGTAGATATGGAAAAATTTAAATAAAAATCGACTAGTTCCACGAAATTTCTGAAAAATAGACAGTTTGGCTAGAAATAAATGTATTGCTTTCATTTGCATCATAATGTATACAAATCCAAACAAATACTTCGTCCCATGAGAAACTGTGTGCAGTAATACATTCGATATTAAAATAGAGAATTCGTGGTGTGATAAAATTTTGAGAAAATTTGCAGAAAAAGTGTCAGTTCGTTTCCAATGCTTTATTCATTATTCGGAAGATCTGAACAAATTATTACATCACAATAATAATTGTGAATCGTTATTATTATGATAATTATAACTCAAGTAAATTTTCATTGCATAATTGAGCAAAACTCCAGTTCAAAATCGTAAATTATTCATTGTAATGTTATAAATATGTAATGTTGACAATCAATTCATATTCATTTGCATACTAGAACGTTCTGAGCGTGGGTGATCTTATTCGAAACAGTTGATATACATAATGTGCTCCAAGTTTCCAACAAAAACTTCGATCGCTCGCAAATTTCGAGAGAAATACGATGTGCTCTGTGCTCTAGATCTTTATTAAGATTTATACTTTTACAATCCCCTAAGAGTTTCCAAAGAAGAACGCGATTATTTTATCACAATGAAAAATTAATATCATGTTGTGAGTGGCAGACACAAAAAAGGCGATTGGCGATGTAGGTAGTGGAACTGGATATAGGGGAATAATAAACTATGATAATTATTATTGTGAGTGGTGAGCAGATTTAGAAACAAAGAAACTCAAAACGAAACATGATATTTAGAAAAAAACAATGACACGAGTTATTCAATAGTTAGGCATAAGTTTCGTAGTTCTGCATTCACCTGTTCGACTTTTTATGAGTGTATCAACTTCTTTAATATAAGATACAAATCTCTGCTTGGAGGCACCGAAAGGCATACCTTTCGTCTCGGATTATACTGAAATAGTGAAGTGTAGTCTGATGAACTGGTATAACAAAATTTGTCTCGCATTAACAAATTTTTTTCCACTCAGCTAATGAAAGCCCCTGAAAAACACTGATTTAGTTTTGGGAAAGAAAACTACACAATGAAACCAAGAACATCCTCAATGAATATAGGCACTATAAAACTTTGGATAACAATCAATCAGCGTAGAAAATGATCCTTTGGCAATATAATATGGAAGGCAATATTATGTTTCATTCAATTTTCGTGGCTTTCTGGTTCTTGAATTTTTTGTCAAATACTTTCGCACTCACTCCCATATGAAGTCACTTCCGATCATCCCCTGCACTAGGTTTTCTTTATGTTCTGGTTCCTAAATAAGGTAGGAATTGGTGTTCTTCTTCAATTTCTAGAGGTTATATGCCTCGAGGAACACCTCCCTTGGCAATGTGTTCCAGAGCCTCGTTGTTCGTTGGATGAACGAGTCTTTGGAAAGAGATGTTGTGCAGGTTTCCAAAGTGACCACGAAGGGGTGCGAAGCCTCAACTCGACGGGCTAATCTCGCGGGGACTGCCAAGGAAGGAACAATAATTGTTGATATTTCAGGAGAGCATCGTCCATGAAAATATCTATAAAATAGAGCCATATCGCCAACTTTTCTACGGCGTTCCAGAGAAGTGAGTCAGTTTATGTGCGAGGCCTCACCTACGAGACGAATTGCCCTTTTTTGGACAGAATCCAACATTTTCAGGGTATGTTTGGGTGCTGTACTCCAAATATAGGAACAGTATTCCAGTACAGGTCGGATCTGTGCCTTATAGATCATAAGCAGATTCGGGCTCAGCGGCTTCAAAATACCAGCGGAACATTGAATAGGTCCCTGAATACAAACACATCAATATGGACTTTGTATTTCAACAAGATGGGGCACCATCACATTACTCCAGAGGAGTTAGGAACTATTTGGATAATACTTTTCTCGGCCGTCAGGGTCCTATGGAATGCCCGCTTTGAAGATTTGATACCTGTACACTCTTTTTATGGGGCTATTTGGAGCAAAAGGTGTACGAAACTGAACGTGCTTCGATATCGGATATACGACAGAGAATGATAAATATTTGTAGAAATATCAAAGTAACTCTGTTTTCGAAAATGATGGGCGTGAAATATCGGATATTGGCTGCCATTTCGAGCATATTCTGAATTAAACTCAGCTTATTTCCTCAAATTTAGAAGTTAAACGTCGATGTGTCAGGCAATTATTGAATGATCCGCCATTTTGTAGTTGAACTTTTTGACTTTATATTATAGAGCTGTGAAGTATTCATTATATAAGAGATGTGTCACCACCTCTCCATTTAATTTTATTATCCAGATGGCACCCAGTCGCCATCTTGCAATTTTCATCTGTCAATTTCAATTCAAAATAGTATTCATGCATCAACTACATTACCTCAAGTTCCAATTTTTTTCAGCCGACCTGTTCAAAAAAGGGGGACATTGAAGAAAAGCATGTATATAATTCAGTAATGGAGAATGATACACTGGATTGATTGAATTTTGGAGATTCAATGTGTATATGGGTTTAATTATTATTAATTTTTACTAACAACTAACGTAGATATAGCTGGGTTAAATCATCGTATCATAAACAGCTATTACATGTCTATCAGTTCAGAGTTTTTACTGGAAGGCCACACAGCAAGTTGATTTATTTAGTCATAATTACGCCATGAGCCTCTCGAGATTGACGGTTTAATATAAGCCGAGTATGTCTTCAGACATAAACACACTCCACATAATATATCATACAATTCAGCCAATTTGTAACTAAAAAAGTGTTTTTTGAACTCCGTAAGCTTTCTTAATGCAAGTGCTGTTCTATATTTAGCGTTCTTGAAACATTTAAGTTTACCTCAACGTATACTTCAAGGAATAATATCACTTCAAATGAGTTCCCCTGTCTTGCACAATGCTCAGAGAATAACTTTGTGAATTCGAATTTGTTTCACCTACCTATATAAATTCCATAAAATTGTTCTGAAGGATTTCTTGACTTCTTACTCCTTTTTGAATTTTGAACACCCTATATCTCATTAATCATTTCCGTTAGACACCAAATGTGATGCATGTAGATTGTAGATTGTAGATGGGTCGTATAGGCTGGGAGACCTCTCGATCACTGTGACCTAGAAGATCTATTGTGATTACCCTTATCTAGTTTTGGTCCTCTAAACCTTATGAAGCCTACAATTTTCCTGACGGTTGAATTTTCCACCTCAGCAGGGGTGAGATAAACCTGTTCTAGGTGGTTCAGCCTTTGGCGGGCTAATACTCCACATGACCACATGTGTTCCGCGGTTTCGGTCGCATTGTTACAAAAGCGGCAAGTGTCAGTCTCCGCCAGGCCCATCTTTTTGAGGTGGTACCTCAGAGGCCGTGTCGGGTGAGAAAGCCTTTGATAAGCTATAGCTCTGGTTTGCTGAGGCTGAGTAGCTCTTTGGCTCGGTTCTGCGAATGGTTGATGAACCTTTTCGCTTGTCGTTGACCTGGAGTTGCTCTCCAGTAGAAGGACTTCTCAATTTCTTCCCATTTCCTGAGTTCTTCCTTTAGGTGACATTTGCTCATCCCACAAAAAGGCTCAGGACCAAAAAGTGCAGATGCTGCACCTTTTTTTGCAAGGCGATCAGCTGCCAGATTTGGAGGTGACAAGTTTCAGCTGGGACACACTATATTATGTGATTCAAGTGATACTTTGCTTTTGTTTCGTTTCATGATTTTTTTCACTTATCTTCCTATCGATAATTTATAAGTGAGTATGTGTTAAGATACGGTGTAAATTAATTTCATTCATATTGTATTTAAACTTGTAATGGGGGTTTCCCGTGAATAAAATAAAAACTAAATGGAATAATTCTCATGGAAAAACAAATTCTGTGTACCATTTAATCAACAATTTCAATTTGTTACATACACATGTATATTGCTGAGTCTACTCACATTAGCAAGAAAGCTAGCAGCGCAGGTAGAAAAAGACTCGCAAGAAAAGAAGTACCCAACCTGTGCCCGTGTAGTGGGATTGCCTTAAGATCTGACTCATCAATTTCCCCACACAAACCTGGATACTTCGCATTACACTTCGTCCCATGGGGACACGCACTACATGCCGGACCTCGTTTATAAACAGGGTCGTCCTTCCAATTCCCAGAAGGGCCATAATTACAGGCCACATACCACGACTTGCCAGTGGTTGATCTAGAACAGCCCACGTGAGTCACCTTGGACCAAACGAGCTGCGTGAAGTGCCCAATATGGACATGAGTACTCCTTTTGAAATGATCTATCTGCTCGGCAGTGGTGTCGTTGCATTCCTCGTACCAAAGGGATACGCTCTTGTGCGTTCCTGCTGCGCTGCCTCCCGTCTGCGAGTAGAGGTTCTGTCCGGCGGACTTGAACTTAGAGGTGGCATGGCACTTATCGTGCTCCATTTTGCAGAAGACCAGGTTGCAGCGCGCTGTGAACTCGAGCTTCACGTCGTAGGAGAGCGCCCTCATGTCTGCTGCCTCGCCGTTGCCTCCTCTGGTTTCTTTTCCCAACGCCAGGTAGTTTCTCCATTTGTTGTGCTCTTCCAGCGCGAATCGTCTGAATTCCACGTCGTGCTCCATTATTTCACAATCGCCTTTGCCTTCGCAGGTACCTCCCACTTCGCAGGCTATGTTTGCAAAACCATTGCGGCAAGTAGGCCAGTCGTCTGCACAGGCGGCATGGGAGGATTTGAAGACGAACGCGAGGTTCAGTAGAAGACTGATTAATCTCGTCATTGCAATCGACTCGAAATTTGACAATGAGATCACGGTGTCAATGTTGACATGAGCGTCTATGAGTGCACTTATTTATAAGGTGGCGCAAATAGGGGTCTCTTAGGTTATAAAATGTGATCTAAAGTCATTAACTGAGAGGTAATAGGCGAGTGGACAATTTTTTTATTTCTTAAATCATCACTCAAATACCTTACAATTTCATATTTTTTGAGAATTTAGAAGAAGTAGGGACAGACTGAGCAATAACGAAACAGCATAAAAACTGACTCGCCCATTGTGACTGGTCTCAAAAAACATACTTTATCAGTGACAATTATCGATGAATATACTTTCTAAACTGTAACGGGACTCAATAATAAGGTATTAATATTTTGTATAAATTTGAGTCCGAAAATGGATATCAAATACCTCACATTGGGTGGTTACTTCACTTATATTCATTTTAGTTGGGTGTTAATTCACTCATGTTAATCAATGTTAATCAACATTGCTAAAGTCATTGATCGATTCATTGATACTTGCAGAGCTTCTGACCTTTATCGAAGCAAACGCTCGGGTTCGGCTGTTTATCATCTATCGTTCACAAACATTCCAGTTAAACTTTGGAATTCAATATCTCCCCAAGTACTTTTGTACTTGTATTCATATTTTGATTGTATTTCGTTTTATATCTTCTACTACCCACATCAACAAATCATTCATCGCTCTAATTTCGGAGACAACCTGTATATTTCGACAAATAAGTTCTGATTGAAACATCAACTACCCAGTTTTCACACCACATGTTTCATGTTTCCAGTATTTTGCCACAACTCGTTGAATTTTTTGCTTCGTCCACTAAACTCTTGAAGCCACGACAGACGATGTGAATGACTAACTTTTTGACGTAGCTACTCGTGAATTGTTGTGAATATTTGATATTTTGGTTTTAAACCATAAAGTTGCCCATATCTCTCCTACAGCCCAAATATACTATAGCCACTGATAGGCGATGTAGCGGCTCCATCGAGGGCTTGATTATCAGGGACGGAATCAGTTCAAACAAAAGATTCCACAAAATGCTAATGGTAAGAAAGAGATCCAAGATTTTTTAACTACCCATGATTTATATTTGGAAAATATCAGTGCTGTCAATTGGCATGAAAAAGTGAATGAAGTTTCAAAATTCGAAGAATATTAAATATAGAATTCTGGTAGTTATCCATCTGAACGGCCAGAATCCATTTATTACCAATTTGGATGATCACAGTGAAGAGGGCCCTGATTTTAGCGATGAACAAGATGAAATGTACCATTGAATATTTTTCATTATGAATAAAATTTGAGTTTGAATTGGCATCGTAATTTCCGAGATTTTTATTCCTGAATTTTACAATGTAACGGTTTTCAAGAAAATAGATCACAAAAATTTTGCATTCCTCAGTTCTTGTTATATAACGAGATAATAGTCCTGTCTTATGATAACATGATACTAGTAGTCGGCAAGAAAACAAACCATACCTATACCTAATAAGATAATTTATTTCAGGTTATCAACATCATCATTATTCTCTGTTGTTTCCGAATAAACTGATTCAGTCCGACTCTGGTTCCAAACACTTGCGAATGACTTCGGAACTTATAATAATATCAATAAAAATATCAAAAGGACTGCGCTTTCTTTTTTATGTTTCATGTAAGTATTTGTCCTACTATAACAAAGCGAGGACATTTCTGCACACCCTTAACAGAATCCTTTCTCTTTCAGTATTTGATAAATAAATCAGCAGATAACTGCTTTCTTTCAAGAATATCTATATTAAGAAAATAAATGTGTTCCACTAGCACAGAGTGTCCATTTCCGATTCCCTTACAGGATATCTCACTTATTTTTCAAAATATAGCATTTTAGGACCTCAGGGGCTCACAACTTGTGAGTACGGGAATGGTGAACCCGAGGTACCCTAGCCGGATATTCACCGCATACTTCAACTTGTCTTGGGTGATATCCTCATCTCTCTTCCGTTTTTAATCTTTCTATCGGCCTTTCTTGGCCAACTTCTCTTTTCCTCTTCTCCTCCAAGCCCAACCTCACCATCAAGTGGTGTGGGGTAGGCAGGCCGCGGCCGCTTGACAGATGAAGCATTTTGGGACCATCTTTGCTATCTTCTGCCAGATGGGACAATTTGTGGACATCTGTGACAAAGATGGGGCGATTTGCTGATGTCTGTCTAGGTGGTCGAGGACTGGTCAACGAGGCTCTGGCAACCTAATCTAAGCTGTGGGAACCCGTGGCGATGGATGGATGGCACCGAGGAATGGTGTCGCTAACGGGGCCTCTGGGAAACAGGGCGACATCCCAGAGTAAACAGCCTTATCCCTGTGCAGGGGGCACCACAGGGCTGGACCTACTGTGGCTGGACCTACTGTGGCTGGACCAACCCCTTCCCCCGTCACTCGTAGGAGAAGGAAAGCTTTTGGCCTTCTTCGTAGACGAGAACAGGGATCGGAATAGCAATCTTCAGGGACCTGAACGAGAAGGGTCTTTCATATTGAAGTGGCCCTTAATGGCACCATGAGTCGTATGTGGTAAAATTGATAACGGCATGTAGGTGAGATACAATGGGCCACTAGGCCTAAGTGTCGTCGGAGCCTACAACGGGGTGGAGTGTTCAGTGGGTATACCATGGAGAAGACTCCCACACTATCATTTGGGGGATTGGACCCGTATGATGTCTATAAAAGATTTCAACAACCTCGGCAAAAAAAAAAGTTCTTCATATAGAACCCAAAGTTATGTTTTTTTCAGATAGAACACTCTGAGTATTTTTTAATATTCAAAACAAAAATGCTTTGACGATATTACGAGTATTAGCCGTATATTCAGTGGTAACATTTACCACACCGCATCTCATACGAGATCTCATATCTACTTTGTAGCTGAGACATGGTTTCAATTTTCAATTTTTCAATTCAGAACATTCAATATAGCAAATGAACTTGTGGATGAATAATTGATAATATGAATACCCGAATGGTTTTTACCAATGACGGCTGAATATCTAGACTGTCTGTTTGTACTTATGTATTTTCCGGATCAGAGAATTACTTCTCCACATAATGTAGGATACTGTATGGGTCTCATGATTCTCAGTAGAGACATAAAAGTATACACAGTCAATGAATAGCCATATTAATAACGAAACTATTACGAGAAGTGATTTTGTCAATAACTTCAGCCGACTGTTTATCTTGATGGGACCAAAAGAGTTCAAAGACACCGTATAGATCAATTAATTATGAGGTCTTAATAGTTTATGCAACAAAGTTCAATAATCAGCACAATCATCGATTGCTCTAATTGCATCATTCAGTTCAAATAAACATCAAATGAGGAGCCAGCTAGACTTGATTCATATTTATGAGCATAAAAACGTTGTCACTAACCATACGTCTCACAGACGGGACTATTTAAATGTCCATATAATTCCAAAATTTTTTATTTTATTTTTGTGAGCTATTCAAACACGTTCTCTACATATATATTTGGCGAAGAGAAAATGATGTTCAAAATTGAAATAGAAATACAAATTTCAGTGGCGATCAAAATCTAATAGAGGAGTACCTCATGTTCAAAATTTCGACATTGATCCATAGAAATACTGGAATAAAATTGAAATACTAAAATTATCGATGATATTATTGTCATTCTGAATACAGTTGGAGTCGTAATAAAATATGACACAGAACTAAGTCATAAACATGAAAATTGAAAATAGATATAGACGCAATCAAACGTATCATAGGCGAAATTGAACTTTTATTGTTACGTAATAACTAACTATACGTCTACGAGACGGGAATCTATCTTTCACTCAAGATATTTCCAAAACTGAACCATATACATAGATCAACTTTTGGGTACTGAATGAGTGCTGGTTGGACATAAATTACGTGGCTGATATTGAAAAGCAGTGGTAATCCAACAAATCGGATGCAGATATGCCGTCTCTGAGACGTATGATTAGTAGTTAAGGGTTAAAGGCAAAAAGAAAATAATTTGGAAAAAATGTATTGCATATGAGTTCAGGTAATGCAGATTCAGTCCAACATATATTAATATCCAATAGTAGATACTTATCGAAATGAGAACGGGAAACACGAAATTTCTATTTGGATGAAGTATATGTCGCAGCTTCTAAGTGTAATCAGCAGTTTCATGAAAAGTCTGGTCTTTGACTATCAAGCCAAAGCCAAAGATACATTCCTTCTTCTAAACATGTCGGAATGAAAATTTCTTCTCATTTATAGACCAGAACTTTCATGAAATGGATGATTATATACCTACACTGTAAGATTGCCACAGATACAAGGTGACTCAAAAATGTGTGCCCAGTGATAGTGCATTGAAAAATACGTATAGTTTGATGAATAAACTAATGACGCAAAATTACACATTTAAAGCAGATATCCTTCCAAAGTTGAAAGTTGAACGGTAGATGCCACCAAATGGAATAGTAAGTTCTGATTACGTCACTCTCACTGGTGGAATGATCTCAACTTGAATTCTGCCGTTTGATAGGTTCTCAGCTCTCTATCATTTTCCATTTATTTTGTATTCACCAATACCTGTCAATAAAATCCATTATTATTATTATTATTATTATTCTCAAATTGAAAATTCCTGCATAAATGTGTATTGATGAAATACAGTTTTTTGATACATTCCAACATTTCTACTTTATTTATAGAGGGTGTTTTTATAGGGTGGGTCATGATTTTATGAAGACGTCGCTACCAGCTTTTCGACTACATATTCCACAGGTCGCAGGTGTTGATAGGGTATAGTTTCTCATCAGATGTTGGATCTGTTATGCCTCATATATTATGATCTTGATATTTATGCATACTGCAAAATACACTCAACAGGAGTTCACAGATTCATAACAAGATAAGGAGTGTTTTTGTTTGCATCTGGTTAATTGAATTAAATTAATTCTTATTCAAATAATGATTCAGGAAGTATTCGTTCAGTCTCAATTTATAATTGATAATGTGTTTTTCCCAAACGTCATC